CACACACACACATTAATGTATCAATGCACAATTATTCCGTCTATTATAATGCTAATATCATAACATTCAAATGCTGACAAAATGCTATTTGATGAGTGCAACAACAACGAGTTGCGTACTTGAACACATGTCGCTTTCATGCATCCCGTATACATTTCAACAAACGATTCAGTAACTTTTTCATTCGAAATCTTTGAAGCCTTGAAATTGAATGTATAGAAAACCAAAATTCCTCATTTCAGTCTGTTGTCCTCATGTAATTTCGTGTTGATCCAGAAGGAAATGAATTTAAAAAAACTCGATTGTGCAGTAAGAGCGTGAAAACGAACGAATGCAAATAAAGATGTTACGACAATCGAAAAGAGCCTCACAATAATCACGCATTGAAACTCGTGTTCATGAAATGAAGACGAAGTCTTCAAATTTGATCACATATCTCACAGCCAGTTTTTTGTGGCAAGACTTTTCACTTTCAAGTCGAAGTCAGAAATTTTCCGTTTGTTTTGGAACGATACTTCGATAATTGCATGATGTTTTGATAATAGCTTTCATGTTAGAACAATGTATCACTTTAAACTTGCGAGGAATTCAACGAAAATTCTGAACTTAATGCGGCAACAGTCGGCAAGACAAGTTCTTCTGGCTTCGCATGAGGTTAGATTTTGTTAACAACCTTTAAGAGAATTTTACGATATCAAACTTCAAAATTCTATCAAATTCGCCGAATAAACATTTTCAATAGAACCACTGTCAAGATTGTGTTCATGTCATCTTAGAGCCAATCGAATCGCTGACATTAATAAACAATATCATGTTATCTGCTGTTCCAGGTCACATTTTACGCCTATTCACCACTATGAAACATAATGCAAAGTTAATGTGCATCGCAATGAAAATATCGCTGAATGTCACACGACATCTGATCTCATTGGGTTTAAGTTATCAGATAATGTGATCTAATAGTGACCACAGAATGACTTTCACGGTTGTTTTATTACTACCATAACTTCGCAGTAAACTCACATTCGTCCTCACTCATATCCTGTCTTGTACTCTATTAACATTAACTAAATCCCAAATGTAACAAATCGACCACAGTACATAATAAACATTGTCATATAACGGCAATTAACCTGCGTAAAGTTCAAGAACGTCTGCATCCAGTCTTCGAATGCCACAGTTCACCATACTCAGCCGTCTCGTCCTGGGATCCAGCAACGACGGTATATCGTTCAGTGCACTACCGTCACACTGCACCGAATGCCGCTGGTCGGCAGTGCACTCGCATCCTACCGGGCACATACCATACACCGATCGTACGAGCAAGAGCAAACCGAGTGAATATAGTCGAATAATGCACCGCACATGATCCATTACCTCAGAGCGGATTAGAACTGCAATTTTTTACACACGATTCAATAGAACTTCGACGTTGCTTCAAATCGTTGTCACGAAATTCTCACGAATTTTGAACGCTCCTTATTGCGGGACAATGTTTTCACTATCTAAAATCATGCACTTCACAAAATCCAATACCTCTGTCAGAAGGATATTAAATATTGATGCATTT